AACATATATAGTAAAGCACTTAGGTGTGTTAGATGGTGATAGTGCTATGACAGTGCTGAAGCACCAAAGTGGGAAGGAAGCGCTGGGGCCTTGTGATAGGGGTGGGATTCAGTTCAGAGACCAGGCAGGCAGGGAAATCCTGCCATGGAAGATGACAGTAGAACAATTAAGTTAGGGATTTAACCTGCCCAGGATTAACTGTTAAGGCTCCTACAGTTTATAGCTCTCCTTCCACAGGGCTCTGGACACTGGTTCTCTAAAAATGGCATGTGAGCACATGGGAGGATTATTGTCCTTCCATTAAGTAAGTTTGGATAGCTTATATTTTCCTCTAAAGGAATCAGTTTCAACAAGATTTTCAAAATTATTAGAATGAATTTTGTATACTATTTTCAGTCAAAAAAAAACCCCCCTGATTATCTACAGTTTTACTCCCTTTCCAATTCCCCATAGGTAATTTTATGCCCTTTCTGCCTTTTACTGTTGTTTCATTTGCTTTGCTTTGTTGTGTTGAGGCCTTGGTAGAAGAATTCTATTTACTCTCCCTTTAAAAAAACTATCATGTACTTACTTGTTTACTTTACTTTTTTTTCTAATTACTGACAAGATTTAATTTCATCTTTCTGCAAGTTAATGTTGTTACTCTTTTTTAGCTTCTTGAGTTTGGTTCTTATTAATTTATTTTCACTGCTTCTTATTTAATAATAAAGTTTCCTTTATTGCAATGAGATTTGCTTTGCATATAGAGTTAGCCAATTCATAACTTTTGATATGTTATATTATTGTAATTATTTGCTAAGTATTCTGCAGTTATGCTGCTATTTTTCTCTACAAGCTCAGAATTATTTGGAAGATAATGTTAAAGTTTCAAATGGGATTTTGTTTATATGTCTCCATTGTAGTTTTTGTTGTATCACTTTATGTTCAGAAACGTTACTTGTACAGATTTGAATGTTGTTGATATTTTCGTTGTGCCCTGAGTTATGCTAAAAGCTTATAAATGTTTGATGGCAATTTAAAGGAGTTGACTGTTAGTTATTAAATTAATTTTACCTAAAACATTATTATTTCACCCTCTTAATAAGTCACTTCTTGATCTTTCAAATACCAAGAAAGTTATGAAAAATTCTCCCACAAATATTATGAGATTGTGTTAGTGTGTTTTGCATTTTAACTATTTTTGTTTTATGTGTCTTGATGCTTCGATATTCAACATGTAAAGATTTATAACAGCTCTATTTTCATATCAATCTATTAATTTAATCATAAAATAACCTTTTTGGGGAGGTTCCATATAATGCCCCTTGAATTCTATTTGATCTGATTTTATTACTATTTTTTAATTCTTAATATTAACTTTTGTAGTATATTTTTATTGCTAAATTTTCCTATTTTTTTCTTTTCTCATGTACTTTGGAAGCTATATATCATATTATTATATAACCAGTGGTTATCTTTAAGCTTTAAAATGACATATTGTAACTTATGATTTTCTAATATTGTTGAAATTATAACATATACTGACTCTTCCATGTAGCTGTTAACTCCCCCCCAACCCCAGGATTGCTCAAGTCTAAAGATTCTGCATTTGGAAATACTTTATATATAAATTTTTTTTCTGTTTATAATGAGTTGATGTAGTTCCCTTTTCATTTTTGCAAGGTGATGAGGCTCCTTGCACTAGTGTTATAACAGTATAAATACTTGAAAGTACCCCTTAATCAGCGAAAAACCATTCTGCAGAATTTCCAAAGGTGGGACGAGAACTAATAGTTCCTTGAACATATCTCTTGACTGCTACAGCATCACTGGTGAGTGGTAGGTTGAGTATATCCAGTTGGCTCAAGTCCACTCTTGGCAACATGGGCCACATGCTGGGTGCAAATGGCATAATCAAGATTAAGAAGATGAAATTTGTTTGTGAAGGGCATAGAGTCATAGTATTTAAGGGTTGAGAAGGAGTTTATAATAAATCTCATCAAAATATTCATCATATGTTTCATGTCCTCTGTGGTGTGTAACCATATACGTATCATAACTTAGATTGCCACAGCAGCTTCCTGAAGAATAGCTATGTTGTAAGGACAGTGATTAATGGGTTGGCCCACGCATCCTCCAGAGTACATATTGCTGCCAGAGCACAGCTGGCTTTGGAGTGTCAGTTGTCATTGAATAGTTCAACTTTGAAGGTTGAGAACACATTAAAATTGAGGAAGGGAGAGAGAAAGAGAGAAAAAAATATATAGAGATGAATAGGGAGACGGAAATCAAGATGGGGAAAAAGTGTGTTAAGAGCAAAATTTTAAAACATGTTACTGGAAGGAAATATTCTAGTAATCTTATGAAGTTTGGAGTTTCAGTAGAGATTCTAATCAAACAGCTGAAATTTGCTTATTCTAATATGTGTTCCAACTTGTATGGCTATTTGCTAATTTGAATGATGCTGCTTTGTTTAAACTGTTTTTAAACTCCTCATTTGAAATTGCCTTCAGTCTGCACAACACTTGATAACTCAATAGTCCTTTGGGTTAGCTCACTAGTGGTTTGATTCATTGTCACCATATGTGACCTATGGACTGTTAATGGCCTGGCAGAGGTTTATGGTGACCATTTTTATTTCTTGGGAATTGGAAAGCTTATGGTTTATGGAATATTCATGAAGCAAGGAGAAAAGGCCAACTGGAAGATTCTAAGAGCAGCTATGGGCAGCTTGGGTATGTCTTTAGGCATCTCAGGAGGCAAAGCAGCTGTTTTGCTTCTGCTCAACATCACCATAATTCTGCCTTTGACTCTGACCTTCCAATATTGAAGTTGAGCTCTATTCTCGTGGTTCTATCCTTCCATACCCTTACCACTTCTTAGAGTACCTACTCGCTCACTGGCTCAGGTGATTTGGATTAATAGGATGATTCGGAAAATAAATAACTATAAAATAAAGTGTGGAGATTTCTTAATAAAATCATACTTAAAACTTACTTGAAAATATATTCTGTAGCCCTTGTTCAGTCAGAAAGTATACATTAATGTATGCATGTTGTACGTTGTGAAAAAATCCAATGATATAATGACTAAAATTACTTGGACTTTTAAATTGTGTCAGGTACTATGTGATATGCTTTACATGTGCTACTTAATTTCACGCTCACAATAACTATTTTACAGATGAAGAAACTGAGTCTTTTTTTTAACATCTTTATTGGAGTATAATTACTTTACAATGGTGTGTTAGTTTCTGCTTTATAACAAAGTGAAACAGCTACACATATACATATATCTCCATATCTCCTCCCTCTTGCGTCTCCCTCCCACCCTCCCTATCCCACCGCTCTAAGTCTTGAAGTTGTTAAGTGATGTAATCAAGATAACACAACTAGAAATGGTAGACCAAATAGAATAGAGAAGAGCAGTGAAGCACGTTTAATGAAGAAGCTGATTAGTTCGCGTTTAGACACGTGGAAATTTCCAGAGTGGGACATTTTCTTCTATCCCATGATAATGATGACTTACTTTCTTCGAACTACAAGTGCGTATTTCTCCACTGTGCACCTTTCCTTTCCCATCTACCTAATTTCTTTGTCTATGTCCATTTTACTGTAACTATTCTTC